TATTCAAACGCCATGGCATCTTTCTTTTATTTTTTTAATAAAAAAATAAATGCCATATCCATAAATCACAATGTATTACTATCTAAACATCTAAACCCAAATAAACATTCCTTAATTTAAGATAATCTAATAAGACCCATTCCAGATTTATAGGACACCTCACCCTTCATATGCTCCTCCGTAACATGTGTTTATCAACAGACATTGATAGAAGCTTATACCACTAAAAAAACAAGAACAAACAAAACCCAAACCTGGAATATTGAAGAGACCGATAAAAATATTGGCAAATCTTCTCAAGAATCACAGCACTTATCTCCGGAAAAGTCACTTCCCCATGCTCCGCCTCCGCAAAGCCACCTTCATCATCACCAACCAAAAGGAAAACAAGTTAAAATTAGAGCTTTCCAAGTAAGAACCCAGAAAACCAAATGCCGAAAACGATCACACAAGAAGAAATGAAAGAAAAAACAAAATCAGAACTGGAGAAGTAAGCATGTTACGGATGGTTTGAGAAACCATGGAAGCTTCCTTGTCGATAACAAATTCCATCCCTTCAGCGCTGATGAATTTCACTGTGTCCTCTTTCTTCATATTTTCTTTGAGATAGCGAAAGAGTTCCGTTGGTATGGGAAGAGGAGGAATACCCACTCCGTGGGATTAATCCCTTGTTTGATGTGCAAAGCTATAGCAGAAACACCACATGACCCGCGAAGAAGAAGAAGAAGAGAAACTGCGAAACCAACAAAAATCGGATCTCCTGAAAAATCGAGAAGATGAGTATGGTATAGAAGAAAAGGAGGAATACCAAGATAAGGAAATGGTTAAAGGAGTCGAAGAATTGGAAGAAGGAACGGTGTGAAGTTGATGGGAAATAAGAGTTGGGGATTGGAGAGTGGAAGAGAAAGGGAATACTGCACTGGAATTACGGTTCTTCTGCGTTAGTTTTCCATGTGAAGAGAAAATCCCACATCCCTTATAAAAGGAGAAAGAGAATGGTTTATAAACTAAAAAGCCAATAATATAAAATATAGGCCTTTGGGCCATGTTTTGTGGCAGCAGCAAGTTTGGGTGGGCTTGGGGCTGCTCTAAAATCTTTTAAGTGCGCAGAAAGATAATAAGGGTGGTGGGCGGGCTTTTTGGTTCAGGCTTACTGTTCGGTGTTCGGGGTTCGGGGTTCGGGATTTAGGTTTTAAGGTTGAGGGTTTTTTGATTTATTTTTTTTCAAAATTATCTCTTTTATTTATGAATAAAATTTAATATTTTAATCGATTATCTATGAATTCAGTTTGATTAATTTCATTTCTTCTTTTTCATTTTGATTTTAAAGTTATTTTGAAAAAAAAAATTAATACAAAAACTTTAATATATGATTTTAAATATTATTTAATAAAAAAAATTTTGTCAAAAATATTTTAATATTTTTTTGTCGACGACGAATCGACGTTTTATACCTCACAAACCCTTGGATGAAAATTGTGATCCCACACGATTCCGACGGTCAATCGGTGGTAACTACGACAACACATGATTGAGAATGTGACAAGGACTATATCGGTGGCGATAGACTAAGATTAGGATTTGGGGTTTTTAGAGATCTGGGGCTTTTTTATAATTTAAGAGAAATTATGATTTTTTTTATAAATATGTTAATATTTTTTAAAAATAAATTTCAAAATTATTAGATTGTGACATGTGTCACTTGACAGAAGAAATAAACGTCGTTCACTGCCCGAGCACCTAAAGTGGTAACGTTGGACACCGGGAGCATTCAAAAAATAGTTTATACACATTTTATAAAAATATTATAGTTTGGACACTTATTTTGTAATAAACCTTATTCATTTCTCAACAAAATACAAAATCTGAAGAAAAAAAACAGTATAAAACAACAAAACTAAACACATTAAGCCACAGGCACCATGCAACTCGAGAAACAAGAAGCACAGCAGGGATAAAGGAGTGTTTTTATACATATACATATACGTGTATACATACATGTGTCATACTGTATACGGTTGTAGTTATATTACATAAAATAATTTTTAAAGGAGTGTTTTGTAATTTATAATACATGAAATAAACCCATAATTTATATTATCACTATATCATTCTATTGAATTTTAGAATTTAGAGAATAAATAAATAAGATTAATTTAATTATAATATGTGAATTAAACCCACGATTTATTCATGATAAAGAAACTAATAAAGATTTAGACCAATAATTTGTTTCGTTACAATTATTGATCCTAATGCATTGATAAACAAATGAATAGTTTAATAATTCTCATGAAACTCGTGCCTTGGTGGTGTTGAGGGTAGTTTCAATCAAACATCGTTGTGTACATGATATACATATATTAAGAGATATATTTAAATTTATAAAATTTTAAGAGTCGAAAATAATTTTTTAATAAAAAATAAATAAAATCTAAAAATATACGATAATTTTAAAATTTAAAAGATGATCGCCTCATCTACATCGTCTAAGTCCGTCCCTAATTGCGTATTAATATTATCAAAATCTCTGTAATAAAATTCTTTAATTTATAAACAATTTGTCAATCGGTCAAAGGAGGGACAACAACGAAAGTTGAAAATATTTGTACTAATTCATGTTTATCTACAAACCAGCATCATTCCAAATTCGCCTCTTCACGAGCTGGAAAACAAATCACCATTAACAAATCACCGTTGAAATCCACCGGTTTGTGTCGCCACCTTCACACCGCCGTCCGATCGTCTGACATCTGTGGGATCAATCGTCAATCAAGCGGCTCCCGATACCGCTAGCAGAAAAAATAAAATTAAGATTGGGACCCGCAGTTGGAGGAATCTGGGAGTAATAAAAAAAAGTGTTTAGTGGAACCTTATAAACAATATCCAATCACGTGCTTCCACTTGTAACTCCGTCGGCGGCTGTTGTTATCTTTACCATCGCCGGTGTCAACTTGGGAGGAGAATAAAAAGGATCATTTTTAAGGAGGGAGGTTCCGAATCAGGATCATTATTAGCCAAACTACATAGAATTTATTGATAATAGTAGTATTTTATCTCTTTGGAATTTTAAATACAATGTCGTTTTTGCGGCGGCGGAGGAAAGGAACGGATTCGTCAATGTCCTCGAACTTTGTAGGATCCAGAATCGAAGACGAGGACGAGAAGAAAGGATTGTTCTCGAGTCCCAGGAAAGAAATGAATACTTCTCAGAAATGGTCGTGCTGGGACAATTGTTGCTGGTTCATTGGTTTTGTGTGTTCAATGTGGTGGCTCTTGTTATTGTTGTACAACACAATGCCCGCTTCGATCCCTCAATACGTGACGGAGGAGATAAATGGGCCGTTGACCGACCCACCAGGTGTTAAGTTGAGGAAAGAGGGCTTGACGGTGAATCATCCCGTGGTGTTTGTCCCTGGGATTGTGACCGGTGGGCTCGAGCTATGGGAAGGTCACCAGTGTGCTGAAGGCTTGTTTAGGAAACGTCTTTGGGGTGGAACCTTTGGGGAATTGTATAAAAGGTACCATTAACTTTTGTCCCTTTTTTTTCTTTTTGTTTTCCCTTTCTGAGTTCTACATAAAAGGTATCATTGGCCTTGGGAAGGCCACCAGTGTTCTTTTATGATCTTGACTTAGGTTGGAAGTTATTAGAGAAAGTTCTTTAAAGCTTACTGATTTGCACAAGAAAATATTGCTTAATTGATTTCTATAGTTGAAGCCTTCTAATTATTGCAAATGCTTTTTCCTTTTGTTTTATGTTTGATTATGGGGCATTGGAAATACATATATGGATAAATAATTTATTTTAAGTTCAAAATATACAATCCACATACAAAAATAATTTATTTAAAGTTAGTTTGAAGGGATAAATATTTGGATATATATATATAATTAAAGTTTATTTTTAAAAGTTCATTTGAATTGTACGTGTCTTGTAGGAACATGTTGGGCCCAATGCCACCATCATTCCGTTTTCTTGTTTCCTCCTCGACTTATGGGTTCACCATCTTCTCGTAACAATTTAGACTACATAATGTTTTACAGTTAAATCTGTTAACAAAATGTATATAAAAAACATATACCTAGATCGACCCAGATGAAAACACGTAAGAAAATCTTTCATAAACCTATTATTTAGTGTACGTATGTTTCCAGCCCTTCCCGTAGTGAACATACATAATCGATCAATCATTCGCTAGGGTGATCACAAGTTGTGGGCACCTTGGTGCTTCCTTAAAGTGGAACCTAGAGGAAGCTTATTCAACGGGTGAGATGAGACGAGAGGACATTACTGGCCGTGACGTCGCCCGTTATCGTTGATCACAAATCGAAGTGTCCTTTTGCACGTTGCCCATCTCTAACTCTCGGTTCATGTTTGTAACCAAAAAAGAAAAACAAAAGTGAAAAACAAAGCCCTGTTTTCACTTGTATATAATTATTCTAACTTTAATCCGCCTATATTTTGTGTCTCTTATAAGCCACACCATCTTACCCATTATTGATTACTTCATTTTGTGTCTCTTATAAGCCACTCCTTCCTACCCACCTTCTTACTCATTATCGATTACCTTGAAGTTTCGGCATAGGATGGATTTAGGCATTTTAGGTATTTATACCTTTAAATTAACTCTCAATTATTTGACATTAAACGTTAATACTTCTTACATTCTTGGTGCCCGAATTTAACACTTCTTAAATTAATTATAATATTTTTACTATCAAATTCGCTTAGTTTGTGCTTATTATTTAAATTTATGTACATTGTCTCTCATAATATTTGATTCTAATTTTGTCTCTTAGCCTATATTTTCCTATTCTATATGTACTCAACTAGAACTAAGTAAAAAGGAAATGAATAGTCGAAGAATTAGTAGGGTAATTTATCAGATAAATAAATAAAATTCATCCACTTGATCAGTCTGAATTCTCGACTCCTCTCATCTCACTTCTTCTCTAGAAAGAAGTGAATAAATTATTAGTAATGAATCTAAATAAGAAGAATAAACTCTTTCTTCTCTCAAAGCCAATGCTTCATTCTTTGCTCTTTTGCTAATGTGAAATTTCCATCTCTCTCTCTCTCTCTCTTCCTTCACTGAAAGAATGGCCAAGTATCACCGAAACGACATCGGATCCTTAGTCCTCGACCGTCATTCCACCACCTCTGCTGTTACCCACTTCCGACTATGTAATGCCTTCTCCGACTCTTCGCTCCGTAGGAAAATCTTGAACGCTGTAAGATGTGGCGCCAGTTCTCGCCATCGTCATCAGCTCATGCAGGAAATGCTCAATGAGGCCGCCCCTCAGCCTAAGCCTAAGTCTCCTCCTACCACCATCACAATAAGGTCGGTCTTGAAAGAATACAACGAACCCAAAAACACAGATTTCAAAGTAGTGAAAAAAGCTGTCAACAATGTTAAACCCGAGAAGCTCGTTGATCTCTTGAACTTAGCTGAAGCCAAAAGCGATGCTGAGACCACGAAGAAGGTTCAAGCTTTGGAGGAGTTGAAGCGATTGGTTAAGGATTTGCAAGTGGAAAACGAAGAAAACAAGAGAGTAGCTGCCAGTAGAGTAAGGTTGCTCACTAAAGAAGATCCAGAAACCAGAGTAACATTGGCTATGCTAGGAACTATTCCCCCATTGGTTGCGATGCTTGATTTTGAGGATTCTGATTCACAGGTCGCTGCTCTTTATGCTTTGCTTAATATAGGAATCGGAAATGACCCGTGAGTTTCTCAAATTTCCCTCTTTTAAACTAAGTAATCTCTTTTGTGTGTGCGTGTTTTAAAAAAATGTTTTTATTTTCTTCTAACATTACTGATGTTGTTGATCTATTCTTTGAAACCCCCTTTTCATTGTAGGAACAAAGCAGCCATTGTTAAAGCAGGGGCAGTGCATAAGATGCTAAAGCTTATTGAACCCCCTAACAAGCCAAGTCAATCAATCTCAGATGGCATAATAATAAATTTCCTTGGCCTAAGCACCTTGGATTCGAATAAGCCTATCGTTGGATCTTCAGGGGCTATCCCTTTCTTGTTAAGAACCCTTAAGATTTTGGATAAGAGAACTGGGTCTCAAGCAAGACATGATGCTCTTATAGCACTTTACAATCTATCAATCTCCCCATCAAACATTTCCTTTATTTTGGAAGCTGATTTGATACCCTTTCTAATGAATACCTTGGGGGACATGGAAGTTAGTGAAAGAATAGTTGCGATATTTAGCAATGTGGTGTCCACTCCAGAAGGTAGAAAAAGCATTAGTGTTGCCCCAGAAGCATTCCCAATTTTGGTTGATGTGCTGAATTGGACCGACTCCCCAGGGTGTCCAGAAAAAGCATCATACGTTCTCATGGTAATGGCACATAAAGCATATGGAGACAGACAGGCCATGATTGAAGCAGGCATTGTGTCATCAGTACTTGAACTTACACTTTTAGGTAGCACGTTAGCAAAAAGGAGAGCTTCCAGGATTCTAGAGGTTTTGAGAGTGGATAAAAGGAAGCAAGTTTCGGATAATTTCAGCTGGAATTCAAGTGCAGCTGTGTCCGCTCCTATTTACGGGTATTCGTCGTCATCGACGAATCAATAAGGAAAAGAGTGCTTTGCGTTTGAAGAAGGGGTGATGAGTGAGGAGAAGAAAGCTGTTAAACAAATGGTCCAACAAAGTTTGCAGAATAATATGAAGAGAATTGTCAATAGAGCCAATTTGCCACAAGACTTTGTTCCATCAGAACATCTCAAGTCCCTCACAACAAGCTCAACTTCAAAGAACTTACCCTTTTGACCCAAATATGAATTAGCCATTGAGATTTCCATCCAATAGAGAGATGTAAGAGCTTTGGTAGTTAGTTACTCTTTTGTTCTTCAATCCCATTTTGCCTTTTCTTTTAACCCTTTTCTGTAGCTTTTGTCAATGTATGATATATACATAGCCGTTGTCAATATTCTATCATTGTACTTCCATAATCAGCATGGTAGAAGATTGCTACTTCATTTGACATTTTGGGGTGTGATCAAACCTTCAAATGCATCACAGTCTGATCTGCATTTATGCTTGTCAATGCCTAATATATTAATGTTATGTCTATATAGGTCTCTATCTCCCTACAACCAATGAGTCATTTACTTTCAAATCCAACGGTACTATTTTGTCTGATGCCTTATATGGCCTTGGCACTTGTCCCTACAACTCTACCATTTATTTATATGTTTTCAGCAGAGGCAGCTGTCAAGAAAGCAGGTGTGGGTCATTTTCCTCTGCATACAAACAAGGGCCATTGGCTATAATTTCTATATGGTCATTTTTTTAATTACAACATTTCGATCATTTCATTAAGAATCTCTAGATTTACATAGTGGAATTCCAACTTTTTTTGGACTTGTTCTGTATTAATTTTGTATAATTTATCTTCCTCCATTGACTTTGGTTACTAAGTGTGTGTGTTACATTATATAATTGAAATTACAGATGGAGAGGGTTTTAGCAAGCAACATGCCAAATAAGGACAGCAGGAAGAAGAATCCGAGTTATGGGTTACAATGGTCGGCTCACTGTTGTCGACTCGGGCTTTGTGGTATATGTTCTGAAGGGAAATGTGAAATTCACGTGGTCACAGAGCTGCTGTAGTGTTCTAATGATGATATTAAATAAATATATGAATTAATCAAATAATAAATCTGGTGTTTCAAAAATAATATATATTCTACAGCTTTTCTGTAAGCATAACGGTAAGAAGATAATAATTTGATACTGTGGGGGCTGCTTCACATAAATTGTTTTTATTTCAACCCTTGCTTGTGGGTTGTGGGGGGCAAGTAGCAAGACGAATCTATGATTTTACGTTAGAGAGTAAACTTCTTGAATTTATAAAATTTTAGGGGATAATTTTTTTTAATAGAAAATACATAAAAAATTAAAATATATGATAATTTAAGATTTTTATGGGGGCGATCGCCCCCATCCGTACCGTCTAGGTCCATCCGTAACTGATAGTGTAATACAATAATTGCTTGTATGTATGTTGGTAGCAATAAATATGCATGATAAAACATGTGCATCCCCATGACTAGATAGTGGCAAGCCGACGGTGCTGATCGCGGTCAAGCTCTATTTCTTTCATGTTTCGAGATATTCTTAAATCATTTTACTTGTCGCTGATTCATTGTTACATGATCTATCTTTATTTTAGTCGTGTTTTGAGATATATTGAAAACTATTTGAAGATTTTTGTTAAGGGAATCGAACTTGTGTCCTCTAACGTGCACACATTCGTTACATTTCGTTATCCGTAAAAACGGATTCGAAAAATCTCAAAGTTCAAAACGAATGAAATCGTTACATTCATAAATGTGTTCAGAAAGTGGGTAGCAACAACGGCTGCTCCGACTCCGACAATCGTCAAGACTTCCAACAACGGTTAGTTTAGAAGGAAAAACACTAATCATAACCCTTGGTAAAATAGGCTTCATAGATTTTCAATTTTGCGATCTTTACATTTTAGTCTCTAAAATCACAACTTTAAAATTAATCAATTTAGTCACCATTACAATTAAAATACTAATTTCCAAAAATAAAAATTAATAACTTCAAAGCAGTTAAACCAATTCAACCACTTCAAAATTATTTATTATTTCAAAAATACCAAATTATTATTTTTACCAAAAATCTAAAAACCGACCCAAAACCACTATTTCAGAATTTGAGATGTTACACCTTTTCTATTACATAACCTAGATAACCAAAACGAGAACCCCAGGACTCCAAGTCAACCCCGTAAACTCCTCTGGACTCAACAATATTATAATGTACTAATTAATTAATTAATCCATAGGCGTTTTTCTCAATGCATTAGCAAACTACCCACTCTTTGTACTTTAAGACTGAAAATACATTCTCCAAAATATTGGATTAAATTATACACTAACAAAACACGTTGATGATACCCTAATCATAAAAACATATATATTAAACAAACCAAGTCTCCCACTAACCCTAAGAAACAATTAAGTGGTGATATTTACGTGAGATAGGTGTCACACAAACGCACGTGAGGCTGGAAAGAAGTAATATCGTTATTCAGTTCAAGCACAAAAAATAATAATAATATGAACGTACAATATCAAACGGTTGAAATTTTGATATTATTTAAATTTTTTATACTTGAGAAATATTTTTAAGCTTAAGACGTCCAATTCAAAGCACGAGTTCGTGTTTGACACTTTCAAAAGCTAGTCAAGAAAAGACACATTGATGGAATTGCAAGAAAAAAATTTGAAGTACAGATGGTAATTACACGATCGCTTAAGATGTTTTGGAAGGAGAATGCGCAAACAATGACGTGATGTTGTCCTTTTAAGTTTCTAAGCAGTAGTTGAAGTCATTTAATAGTCGATTTTTCAACCCAGAAAAGCATTTGGTCTCCCTATCAATCTTCGAGCTATACTAACAAACAGTAAACATAGAGAGAGAGAGTAGGTGAGCGACAATAACAGGGTTTGCTAATATAGTATGAAGAAATTATAAATTTAGACTCTTTGGTAGGAATAAACATCACATCTTCGGCCGCATTCCGGATTTCTAGCCGCCCAAATAACCTACTTGTTCACACTACTTTTCCTTTGGTCTAATTTTTGTGTTGCTCCACCTCTTTTGTTGAAGTTTTAGATGCTATTAACTTCCAAGACATCGTTTTGCAGTAAGCTGGTCTCCGGCGGTGGTTTCGTACATGTTTGAATCCCAATATGAACACCCCGACTCATCGTTATCATTAGAATTAACTATTACCATATTAAATTTATAGTAGAAATATATTCAAAGTTGAATAAGATATGCATATGGTGAATATTCAACTGAAATGTATAATTCAATTAGATAACCTATATATGATTTACATAGTATGAGTTCAAGCCAAAATTATTCAAGTACTCAACCTTGCCATTAAGCCAATGCTTCATTGCCATTTGGCTCTGCGTCTTTATAATGTTTCTCTGGCCAAAACCATTTGACATTGAATCCTACTTTTGATGAAGGAAATTGGAGATTAAAAAGAGGTGCAGCTGCTTCACTTCACTTCACATGGGGTTTCAATCGAGTATTGGTAGTCAAATTATGGGGGTTAATTAGAACCAAATTTTGGATTATCCAATGCGAGTTAATCTCAAAACATAGTTAGATTCAAACCATGTGGATAGGTGATTTGGAATTAAGCTTTGAGCCTGCCATCTTGGGGGTCAATTTAACCAGACCAAGACCAAGAAATTGAAACATAATTTAACTATTCTTTCTTCCTACGTCTAGTCTCTTAATATATTCTACTATATCACTACAAATATCCTTTCTAGCTAGTTTATCGCCTTGTATTTACCTAGATCAATACAAAAATACAATGTGTGTCAAATAAAACGACGTCAGCACGTGCCATCCCATGTATATTATTAATTACTTTTACTGTAGTTAATATTAAAGCTCGGGAAATTAAAAAGGAAAGAAGGTGGAAGGCAGAAAGTTGAGGTCAAGAAGGCGAAGCTTATGGTTTTAGTGTTGAAGTTCAAAAAGGTAATGCAAATTGCAATCATCTGATTAGGAATTGACTTTCAAATTTCAATGTTTTAGCTGACACTAACAGCCAACTCGAGGGATAGTGGGATCTATCTATCTATGTTTGCAAACCTTTTAGCTCAATTCATCCTCATCATCTTCCACCAACTTTCCTTTGAAACATCTCTCTCTCTCTCTCTCTCGAGTCTATATATTTTATTTCCCTATTCCTGGGTTTTATTATTCTCTCCTCTTTGCTTTTGCTTCTTCTATACTCCGATTTTCCAGTTATGGACTCGGCTTGGGTGGATACTACTTTGGATCTTAACATCAATCCTTGCCAATCTCGCAACAATAAAGCTATGGTGAGTCTGGCTTTCCTTCCTCCAAAGCTTGTTTTTTATTGTAGTGCTGGACTTGGACTTACAAAAGTTGAAACTTTTTTTTTAAACCAGAAACGAGAATTCGAGGGAGATGTGGCCGACTCTGGTGTTAAGGTTCCGGTTAAAGATGAGGCCAGTTTCAACTTCAAGGCAAGTTAATTGTATTTGACAAATACAAGTGTGTAAACACTCATGTGAATGTTATCTTTAAAACAGAGTGGAGTTTTGGTGGAGGAATTGAATAGGGTGAGCGCCGAGAACAAGAGGCTAACCGAGATGCTAACAGTTTTATGCGAACAATAATACGCTTTGCAGCACCAATTCAATCAAGTAAAGAGCAAGACCTCTGAAAATGAAGCTCCATCAAAGAAGAGAAAATCAGAGTGCGAGGATTACACGAACCACGTGATTGGATTCAGTGAGAGCAGCTCTAGCCATGAAGAGTGGAGCAAAAAGCCCAAGGAGTGTGTTAAACCCAAGATATCAAGGGTTCTAGTCCCCACAAATCCCTCGGATACCAGCCTGGTAGGTTCCCCGCTGTTCAATATTTCTTCCCAGATTGAATCTTCTAATGATGGATGTTTACAGATTGTGAGGGATGGATATCAGTGGAGGAAATATGGTCAAAAGGTCACAAGAGATAACCCCTGTCCGAGAGCATATTTCAGGTGCTCCTTTGCCTCAACTTGTCCAGTTAAGACAAAGGTGAGTCTTGCTCCTGATTGTATCGGGTATTTGAATTCAGGCTGATCTTATGGGTCAGAATTGATAGGTCTAGAAACAATATTTGTTTCTGATTGTTGTTTTCGGTATTGGTTTCCAGGTGCAAAGAAGTGCTGAAGACCCATCGGTATTAGTGGCTACATATGAAGGAGCGCACAACCACGACCATAATGCTCTGGCAGAACAAGGATCATTAAGCCCCAGCAGCAACAGGGGTTCAGCATCTGCCCAAACCAAAGCTTCAGCTCCTAGGGTCACTCTTGATTTGATGCAACTAGCTGGATTGGGGGATGATACCCAAAATCCAGCTCAACTAATTGATGCACCAGCTATCCACCAACTCTTAGTTCATCAAATGGCTGCTTCTTTGACTAGAGACCCTCATTTCACAGCAGCTCTTGCTGCAGCCATTTCAGGCCGAGTTGTAAACCAAAATATGATAAGAAAGTCATAGTTTTTTGTATCTTCTTTTTTCTTGGCTCAGTTGAAAATGTGAAAAGAATATTCTATTGCAGTCCAGATATTATCAGAGCTTCCCTTCTCAATTACATACCAATCATAAGCCGTTCAATGAACAAATTAACATACAGAGACTAAAATGTCATTTTTGAAGTATAGGGACTGAAATGAAATGATACATATAGTACAGGGACTTGTACTACTCTGTCAATCAATTTCTTTATATTCAAACTTCGCAGCTGCCAGCTGATAACTTGTCTATATATACTTACTTTTCCCGGTTTGGGCCAAAATAGAGATTCCCTCAAGGCAACGGGCCATCGTTTAAATGACTCGTGTTAATCGGTCATCACTCGTTTTCTTCTCGGAAAAGAAAAGAGAAAATTAACGAAGACGGGAAAGCTCAAAGTCCACGAGTTTGTCTACATCTGTCCACTAACACCATGGACCTCATAAGTCATAACCAGCAAAGTTGGTGCAAAAAAACAAAACAAGAAAGTGATGCATTCAAATAATTAATTAAGATCTAAGTGCTTACTTCAGTCACATGATGTCATACCCATTGCGTTATCAATTCCCATATACACTTTATTAGATACCTATGGCCATGATTATGAAACACTGAAAAATTCTCTTTGAAAACTAGAAAGGAAGGCTCAATTCGCTTTTCCACTTTGGAAAATATTTCCAGAACCCACTCTAGTTTTCATTGATATAAATCAATAAGATTTTGCTTTTAATTTCACCTACTGTCATGGATGCACCACACTTTAACAAAGGGAAGGTTGATTATTACTTTATGAATATTGTCATCTTTGATATGCATCTTCCTTATAGAGAGTTTTGTGATAAATTTTAGGAAAAATTTGCAGGTGGAAACAGAGTTGGAAAATTTGCAGAAAGAGAACCAAAGGCTTAGATTATTGTTAGAAGCAATGAGCAGCAAGTATAAGGTGCTTCACGAAGCCTATGTCCAAGAATCAAACAAGGGAGCAAGGCCTCAAGTTGCTAAGGCGTCACATGTTTTTGTGAAAACGGACCCTAGAGACAAGCTACTTTTCTTAGCATTACTGTGTGTAACAGCTAGATTTTCAGATAGTTAAAGATGGTTTTCAATGGAGGAAATATGGCCAGAAAGTTACTAAAAACAAACCCTCACCCCGAGCTTATTTCAAGTGCTCTGTGGCTCCTGGATGTCCGGTCAAAAAGAAGGTATATAGTAAAATTATATGCTCAAACTGAGCTTGTTTCTTGAACTTGTTTTGGGATCTTTGTTTATAGGTTCAGCGATGCGTGGAGGATGAATTGTGATGGCAACATATGGACAGCACAATCATGATGTTTGTTCTACATCACCAGGAGGACAATCATTGTCTTCTTCGGCAACTAAATTTCCTTATGCTTTAGCCGCCGCGGTTGCCCGCTCCCGAACTGCTGGACTGCCTAAACCATCAATCTCATTAACTTGAAAAGAAACTAAAATGCTAGAGGTTATTATAAAACCCGGACTCTGGTCTGAGTTACCGACATACAACAATTTTGTTACTTTAACTACGCCTATTTCCGACAACATAATTCGGTTACTTCATCACTAGACTTTCAATGAATATGTTTTGTTCATCGTCAATTGAGTTGGCAAAGCCTCATTTCATTTTGTGAAATTCATTTTCTTTATACTGATGAGTGATCTAATATAGTCAGTGGAACAGCCTGGCCAACTGGGAAGGTACTCTCAACCACCCTAAGCAGTATCGTGCCAGCTGGTCAGTCCGGTCCATGACAGTCAAAAGGCTATATACCGAGTTATATATTATCACTGTTAAAATTAGGAATACTAATCCAGAAATGAGTTGGCTTTTCGTAGGTTGGTAGCTCCATATGTACACTTGAGTGTTGAGACCCAACTTCATACAAGAGAAGATGCTATTATTTTGTATCGATGATAATCTACAACCAATTCTTAAAAAGTATTCACACTTGCATTCCTTTTGACTAAAATTTTACACAATGTTTATATATATATATACTGAAAAGGAGAACAAAAGTAAAACTATTATATAAAGTTGTGTTCCTATATATTTTACAACAAAGCTTTTTTGGCACCGTACAAGTAGCTTGAGAGGACCTAATATGAACCTCATCCATCGGTTCTGCTCCAAAACCAGAAAACATGTTAAAGAATTAATGCAGTTAAATAACTTACAATTTGAAATTAGTATTTGGACTCACCATTCACCACCTGCATGTATTTGAAATTTACAACTCCTCATTCTCGCAGTCTCATCTTAGACTACGCGTTCTTCTCCGATACATTTGTGCTCTAAGCTTCCAAGAGTTTTCCCTCCACTGAGCAAAACATTCAGAATGTCAGGTTAAGCGGTAGAATCCATCATTGAATAGCAGTGCTCGCGATTGGACCTTGTATCAAGTGCTGAGAGCTTCAGACTCCTTAATGGAAGTACTAATTTTTTGGCTTCTCATTTTCTGCCTCCTTAGCTTTCTTCTTATCATTTTCAAGTTCCCTTGCAGTTTTCCTCATGTGCTTTGACAAACATCCTCGAAAAGCTGAGCAGAGTAGCCATGACTATAGAAAAAGTTGCAGACAAAAGGGAAAGTGATAAATCTGAGTAAAATACACTCTAGAGATAAAACTGCAGCTGAGATTCACAAGGGTGCTAATAGTTTTCCGAAAGCACAAATTACTTAAGATGGGAACATATTAGCACAAATGCTAGCTATGATATCCAAAGTAGATTAACTTTACTGTAGGCATCCAAAGTGACCTTGATAGCATCCTGATGCGAAAACAACAATTGGTTATAGATCAAGCAGGGGTCACAGCCATCATTTAGGACAACATCAGTTAAATTATTGCTTTCGGGGATAAGTAGAAATATTAGTACCATAAAAGAAAACCATTATATTTCCATTATCAAAAGTAACGAAGTGTTGACTTGATAAACTTTTGGGTCCTAAAATGATGCAGGGTTAAACATTAATTGGACTTGTTAAGACCAAACAACCACCTTGCTCAAATGGGCAACGTGCAGGATCTTCTCCAAAATAATGAGCCAATGCATCTGCATTTTTACCCTGAAGGCATCAATTTAGAGATGCTTATGAATTTGTTTTCTTGGTGGCACATCAAATATGCAAGAATAAAGCCTCCTTAACATAATGCATACCACGTAAGTATGAAGCGCAGTCAAAGGCATCAATTAGATCGAGGCTATTGTGAATTGGAAACAACTTTGTCAAAGGAGAAGCAATGATCGAGAAGCCCTCAACAAAACATTGATAATAACCAGCCAAGCCCAAGAAACTGCGGATTTCAGAGATATTCTTGGGTCGTTTCCAATTCACAATAGCCTCGATCTTGCTTGGATCGACCTGAATACCTCGCGCAGAAATAATATGCCCCAGAAACGACACTTCTTGAAGCCAAAATTCACACTTGCTTAGTTCGGCATTTAGACGATGCTCTCTCAAAGTCCGCAGAACGATTTTCAAATGCTCGTCATGCTCTACCTCAGTATGAGAATATATTAGAATATCATCAATAAAGACCACCACAAATTGATCCAAATATGGTCGGAACACCCGATTCATCAAATCCATGAAAGCTGCAGGAGCATTCATCAAACCAAAAGGCATCACTAAGAATTCATAATGACCATATCTAGTGCGAATGGCCGTCTTGGCAACATCATATCCTTTAACTTTCAATTGATAATAACCCGAACGAAGATCAGTCTTAGAGAATACAGTAGCTCCTCGCAACTGATCAAATAAGTCATCAATCCTGGGTAGTGGATATTTATTCTTGACCGTCATCTGATTCAACTTCCGATAGTCAATACATAATCTTAGCGACCCATCCTTCTTTTTTCACGAACAGAACTGGAGCTCCCCATGGTGAAGTACTATGCCGAATAAATCCTCGATCGAATAATTCTTGCAATTGGACCTTCAACTCCTTAAGTTATTTTGGAGCCATGCGATAAGGTGCCATAGAAATAGGTGCAGATCCCGGATAAGTCTCTATCTCGAACTCTACCTCTCTATCAGGATGTAAACCAGGCAACTCCTCTGGAAAGACATCAGGAAACTCGCTAACTGTACGGATCTCTTCGATCGTGGACAATGAACCTTTAGTGTTCAAAATACAAGCAATAAAAGTCGCATACCCCTTCCGGATCATACGATCAATTTCCATAGCTGAAACTATATTGGAGAGATAGCCACGCCGTTCACCAATTAACACCACAGTCCGACCATCTGAAGTCTTTAGAGTAGCCCGCTTGTATTCGCAATCCAGATTTACCTTGTGTTTATTCAACCAATCCATCCCAAGAATTAGATCGAACTCCTCTAAAGGAAGTTCCATAAGATCAGCGAGAAAAATTTCTCCCTGAACCTCGAGAGGACAACGCCGAAATACTTTATTCACTAATACCACTTGTCCTACTGGACTTGTAACTGTAACAGTATTTTCAGTGTTCTCGATCGGAATCTGAAGGTTTCGAGATACCGAGCTCAATACATAGGAGTGAGTGGAGCCATTGTCCAGTAATGCAAAGTATGGGATAGAATAAATAGTAAATGTACCTGCTATAACCTCAAGCTCATCTCTGTTATCCCGACGTCTAGTGGCATAAACCAAAGCTGGTTGTCTAGCCTCAGAAACTGTTGGCCCTCTATTTTGCTGAGGTCGGGCTCTACTGTCAGTCCTGGACGCTGAACCACGAGCCTTTACTTGGCTACGATCTCTAATTGGAGTATGTACTGTAGTCTGAGAACGCACAGGAGTCTGAGTAGCGGTCTGCTCAAACGAAGCTAGCTGAGGACAATCCCTCTGAAAATGACCACTAGATCCACACTGATAGCAAAGACCCATCTTCTTACGACACTCTCTTGTGTGTTGTTTACCACAAAACTCACAGAGGAACCCATGATAATACGACGAGGAACCGTCTCGACTGCCAACTAACGGTGAGGATGTTGCAGGCCTGAAACGTGTATTGCTTCTCTAAGGGACTGAAGTACGAGTCCTTTTCTCGGACTGTGCTGATGACTCCATCGGGCCTGAAAATTTCTTAGATCATTCCTGTTCAACACGCTCTCTACCAGAAGCTAAAACCTCCACCTCTTCAGCATCTTTGGCTATGCCCACCAGCACATCAAATATCTCATCCTGATGGGTTACAACTTGCCTACGCAGCTCGTATCTGAGTCCAAGGGCAAATTTACGACATCGATCTCTCTCAGTAGGTACCATACTGAATCCATACTTCAGTAACTTCAAGAACTCGATCTCATACTCAGAAACAGTCATGTCTCCCTGAACCAGGTCTTGAAACTGCTGACGTCTCTAAGCTAAATAGCGCTCTCCCAGAAAACGACTCCGAAAGCGATCCTTAAAGAAATTCAGGTCAAACGATCGGTAGGAACACTACTGGTCACTGACTCCCACCAAGTGTAGGCATTGCCATCTAATATCGCCACATCATCCTGATATCTCTTAGTTGAGTCTAAACTCAACTGATCCATGCGTCTCTCTGTATCCTGGAGCCAATCCTCAGCTTCAGTAGGAGCTCCACCAATCGGTCCCCCAAAAGTTCTAACTCCATTGGCAATCAAAGTCTATGAAATAGGAACCTCTGATACAACACCAGTAGCTCTGACTGCTCCTTGTATCAACTGCAGAAATTGTCTACCAAAATTCTCATCCAAAGCAACTCCGGTAGACTCTGACTCAATATTGGTCGCTCCTATGATCGGTGTAGTTGTAACATCCCAAACTACGGGTTAGTGACCAAATTGTAAAATTTCAGAATTTGATGATAAAAGTAGAATACTTGAATAGTTCAATGATTTATTTGAGGATATTTCTTGAAAGTTTTTAGTAATTATCCAATGAATTAAAGGGCAAAATGGTCAATTGACATTAAAGATATTTTATCCCCTTTAATAGGAGATAAAACGTGTGAGATGAATGCATTTTATCTTCTTCTTCATTTCTTCTTCTTTCCAACCATGGAAGACTAGGCAAAGGTGAGTTTTCGATTTTGTTGATTATTTGTTGAATTAAAGGTTAGGTTTGATCATTAAATGATAATTAAGCTTAAGGAAAGCTTAAGTTATCTTAAATTCAAAAGATAAAGGAGTTATGACAGATTAAGGAAAATGTGTTTTGAAGTGAAATTTTGAATAGAAATGTTTAAATGATTTTGGAGGTTGAATTTGACTTGCTATCTATGAGAATAAGAAGTTATAAGTGTTACAATTAAGTTTGGATAATATGGAAAATTTGATATGATTATTGAATTCTATATGGAGAATAGAATTCTAAGGTTTAAGATAAAATAAATAGATATAAATTAGTTTAAGTATGTATACTTGAGGTAGGAATATGAAGGGGATGAAATATGAAGAATTGAAGTGAAAATAGAGAATTTTCGTGTAATGAACAGTAATTTTCTGGGTTGGAACGAAAATTTCCAGATTATGCAAAGGGAACCGATACCCCCTGTGGGGGGATCGATTCCCCCTAAATGAAAAATGAAAATTTAGTTTATTAAACCGGCTTAAGTTATTAACATCAATTAAGGTTTAGGCTTCTGATAGTCGTTTGAAATGTTATATTTATGTAGATATTGAGCCTAAACAAGTTCTGGAATAATCAAAGGATTAGGATTGAATCAAAGCAAGCAAGGCTAAGGTGAGTGCAATTTAATTGTACTTATGCTATCGGAACATTGGCTCGCGATGAGCCAGTGACGGAGTTACTATGTAAGAAGGGACTCCTAAAATTATATGATTGGTATGATTCTTATGAGTGCATTTTAGTTTATAGGATTATAAGGAATTGGACTTGTGATAAGTCTATTTTCAATAGTTGTTGTGTATGGATTATTGATTATAATGATGTGAATGACATAAAAGGTATGTATACTTGATTATATGAAATGATATGTGCTTATATGTGCTATGTGATTTATGTGATATGCCATATGGGAAATAGAGTGTGAACTTTAGGAAAGGATATGATGTATATATGAACATATGTGAACAAAATAAGACATGCATGTTTACATGAATACATGAGAAATAATATAGGTAATATGATATGAATATATGTGACTACGTGAGAAATAATATATGTCTATGAGAAGACATAAGAACAAAGTATAAGCTATGTGATATATGAATATGAATTCATATGAAAAGTGACATGTATTACATGAAAGTAAACTACGTGATTATATGAACATGTGAATGTGAATCACATGGAAATGTTCTACGTGTAAGTGAATTATGTTTTTATGTGAATATATGAAATAATATAAAGAATAATGCCCATGATATGTGTCATGAGATCTAGAGGTATAGTTGGCATGCCAAGAGTAGAGGGTCTACGCGGTCCTTCGGGACAAATTCTACGTGGTCCTTCGGACGTATATGTATTCTTTGGAGCATGTATGAGGTCTTGTGAGACACATGTTTGATCCTTAGCATATATATATGATTCTTAAGGAGTTTATATGAGGTCCTTAGGACATATATATGGCACTACGGTGCAATTCTACGTGGCACTTCGGTGCATTTCTACGCGGTCCTTCGGGACAAATTCTACGTGGCACTACGGTGCAAATTTATATGAGCTGTGGTGACAGCATAGTGCACAACCTCACAGTACTCGCATACCTTAAGTTCTCAGTAATGTACATGGGCCTATAAAAGACATTGAAAGTATTTACAAGATTCATATGTGATATTGTGTGCATCCTAAGTGAAATGTATTTGTTATATGAGATTGGTAATTATTTATGCAATAGTGAGATTTGAAGTTTATATTATATGCTGATATAGTATATAAAGAAATTAGTGATGAAATGTTATATGGTTTTTTATATATTTATATGCCTCACTAAGTCAACGACTTAGCGTGTGATTGTTTCACGCGTAGGTTACGAGAAGATGACGGTTGATAAAGTTACTCAAAACAGGTCAGTTTCTCCTTTCCATAGATCAGATCAGAAAAGAAATGTATAATGTGTATTTTGTAATAACGATAGTGGTTGGCATGTAAATAAATAATCAAATCTGATAAGTTTTAATCGGTTTTGAAAAGTCATACGAATAAGTTTTGTAATGTTTTAATGAGTATATGTAATTAATAATATTCAATTTATTTTGTTAAATAAATTTGGAAACATAGATGGGAATTTTTATAATGATGAAAGGTTAATTTTTATAAGTTAATATGTAAATTTCGGAAAATACTGTAGCAGTTACTGTAGCATGAACAGTAACCGCGAGTTTGAACAAAATTTTCCAGTATCTTAAAGGAGAATCGATTCCCCGCTACAGGGAATCGATACCCCCACTGTTCATCGCACTATTCACTGTTCACTATTCATACCGTATTTTTACTATTCACGAATACATATTTTTGAACTCAAAATTTTATAACAAGCACAAGTGAACCATATATGGTCGTATTTTCTTAATACAAATTAAAATGCTCGATTATTTTGAAAGGAAATCGTTTTTAAAAGTCAATGTGACATCTCGGACTCGTATTTGGGTCGGGTACGGGTTGGGCTGTTACAGTAGTCATGCCAATACCAGCGACATGAGGCAGATTCGTTGGGGTCGTAGGAGCAGGATTACCTATCGGAGGTGGGGGATCTACCCATATCTCATCAATCGGATCTGCAAATCTAGCCACTCGACCTCGTCCACGGCTAGTTCGACGACTACGTCTAGCACTCATTTTGGTGGATCTCAAGTTTACTACAGAAGATAAAACTTAGGGTTAGATAAGCACTTGGAGTCTCGAACACAGTTAAAATCTTAATAATTTTGTGACATGGCCTTTGTAACTTGTTTTGTAAAATATTTCAAAACCGTATTTTCAATATGGACTCATACACGGTCCGAGGGTTAAAAACCAAAAGCTCTGATACCAATAAATGTAATCCCCTAGACCCGGCCTATGCGTTTCGACTAAGTCTAATGGATCACATACATGATTTTTAAAGACATTTTCTGAAACCGATATCCAATCAATGTAAAACCACATTATTCATGACATGAAATTATAATAAATTATAATATTAAAACTCAACTCTTAAATATAAAACCAATAAGTAATAAATTAATTTAAAACATATCTTAAAAATCAAAACCCCGATAAACTGAATAGTTATAGCAAAAGTATCATAATTATAAAATCCAATACTTTAAAATAGATCCATGTCACCAGAATAAAGTCAACTTGCAAGTTTAAAATATTACAATCATATATACTTCAAGAGATATGTTGATCCTCCAAGTGCTCGAACCGAGGTATCTAACCAACAGTAACTGAAAGGGGAAAAATATTTTCGAAAGGTGAGCTAGGCTCAGTGTGTCCCAACATTACCATAAAATCATAATAGGTACATTAAACAAATCATAGTCCAGTAAATCTCACAAATTCGTAAAAGAGTTTAACTTTTGAAAATCATAGTTTAAACCCTTTTCTGGTACACTATCAGTAGTTCCCAAAATTATTTTCCATATAGCTTACTTTATGCACATAGCAAAAAGAAAGCCGACTTAAGGATAGGCTATGAAGCTTGTATCCTTAAGCCCAAGTCAATAAGCCCATATAGCTTACCCTAAGCACACAGCAAAGGAAAGCCGACCTAATGAAACATCTTGGGGCCCTCAAGAGTCACATTAGGCCCATTTATTAGCTTGATCAGAGCTATACAATTGTAGTTCAATCATCCCAAAATCAATATCCATATACCAGTCATCAAAGTCCATAAATCATCAACAATAAATCAGTGTACCGACAATAATAAACCATAGATTTCAATGTACCATATTTCAAAACATATAAAACCATTATTTAGTAAATAGGAACACACCTCGATAATGGGTTCAGATAGTAGATCTACTGATTGCTGGTTTCACCACGCTCTGTTACAGTTTTCGAATGGGTGAATACTGGTATACGTGGTTTAACTGATCTAGAAGAGCTGGGTCGAGCTGTCGAACGATCCGGAGAGTCTCTTGTACCTTCAAACAATAATAATTAATCAAACCCAAAGCTTACTTAATTGTTCAAAGCTAAAATTCTTAAGTATATAAGCATTTTTCAGGTTTGACTATCATTTTGGGGTATTTCGAGTCTGAATTTGGCCAAACGGATTACGGAATCGGAATCAGGACGTCGAAAAACATAAAGTATAAATTTTCAAAAATTCAGATTCTTGGTCAAAGTCAAAGTCAACCACTTTGACCGTCAATTTGGAGGCCTTCGAGTTCGAATTTGACGAAACGGACTTTGGAAACGGATTCGGGACGTCGAAAACTATCAGAATAGGTATACTCGGAAAAGATTTACGGTCGTTTAAGGGTCGGTCAAAGCCATTTTAAGTTTTGGTCAAAGGAAGTCAACGGTCAACGGTCAACGGTCACGGTCAACGGTCAACGATCAACGGTCGAGTCGGGTCAGTCGGGTCGGGTCAGACCGGTCAAACCGGTTCAGACTGGTCAAACCGGTTTCCAGCCCTCCACTCTCCCTGCGGCGGCGCGTGAGGCCTCCTCCGGGGGTCTAAAAATTCCGGAAAATTTTCTAAAAATTATTTTAAGCGATTTCGAGATACTTACAAAGATCGGTTCAATTTTTTGAACGGCAGAGAGCTCGATTTCAACTCGGCCGAATCTTTGACTGCTCCACCTCCTCACGCGCCGCCGTCGACGGCGAACAAGGTTGACACCGGCGGACTCGAAACGACACAAGGAACACGATGGTGCAGGAGGTGTCGTAAACAGAGCAATGATCGGCGGTAAATTTAAGATTTTCCCGGCGATAGAGCTAACAAAAACGTCGAGACTTTGACTGTAAATTCCCGACGTTTGACAACGTTTCACTTCAATTAAATTGAAGGATTTGTTCCACGCTCGATGATGAACACAACAGTGATTTTAAAACGACGATCAGAATTTGGACGGCGTCGGAATCGGAGTTAGAAATTGCGTATGGGAAAGGAAAATTGGGAGCATTTTGGTTCTGAAAATCAGAACCAAATGCATGCTTATAATCAAAGCTACCGACAGTTTTAGGGTAAATTCAAGGCTTGGTCCTTGGATTTCCTTCACTTCTAAAATGGCCTATAAACTCTCATAAATTTTGATTTAGTCACCAACAATTTACCAATCTTCACAATTAACATCCAATTTCAATTAAATATTATTTTGTAAATATTCGGGTTGTTACAACAAGTCTTGAACACATGAGCAACCCAAATGAACCCAAAACAGGAGGCTGGACAAAACCACCAATCCGCTAATTTGAATGAAAAAGAATCTGCATTCGGCGTCTCCACATGATGCACCCATGACCTATTCCTATTTTCACGTTCAATGAAAATCAAATGAATATGCAATCTCTCTTTCTTTACCATTGGTTCCTAGTGGTGACTTTGGATCATTGTAGTTCTACATTGATAGTGTTAGGAAAATGGCACTTCATCAGATGGTAGCAGGATCTCCTTTACGGACATTATGACTGCTAATTGCAGGGCAACCAGCTGAAGTTTTTTCCACAGGTTCCACAGTTGATAGTATGGTTTTGCCGCAACTGCATGCGGAGGTAATATATTGGTGCATGAAATTTTCTAATTGGGTTTTTTTAGGCAGTAAAAATTTTCTACCAAAAAGGTATTAAGACATGATATGCTCTGATTATTTTCATGGGTGATTGTGGATTCTCCTATAAGATATTTAAGGAAATAAATTCGTGTGGTGAAGTGGTTAGCCACGAGAAAAATGACATAGTTTAAAGAGATTGTATTTCAGATACTTTTGATGCTTCTATTCTATGCACTTTTTTTTGAAATGATCATGCCAACTATTGCGAAGAAGAGTACTTACGTTGTGGAGAACTGATGCTTCATCCAGCTATGGCCTGTATATTTCATTTTGTTTCTTCTCAATTTGCTTTTGCCATATATTCTTATCAAGTCAAGTCCATATGTTTGAATTCATATTAATAGGACGTTTTGCCCAAACCCATAACAAGCTGAATTCCTTTGTGTATTTTGTTTTGCTTTTCTTCTCTATTTATTTATGGGCAGTTAAGGGCAAATTGCACACTTGATGATTGGGGGGAGAATTTGGCTGTAATAACTGCAAATATAACCAAAGATGACGAGCTTGTAATTATCCATCTTGGAGATCGCCTTTGGAAGGAAAGAAGTGAGGTACATTATTGCCTACTTTAGCTCTATTTCTCCCTTTGGATGGCACTATTAGCTATTTATTTATTCTCATTGTTTATAGAATCGCTCTTACTTGAGAGTTCAAATCTAGATAATGGCAGCACACATCTGCTACTTAGTTGCGGAAGAAAACTTTATTCAGATAGTGCTAGACTTTGTCTTATTGGAGCACACCACTGGAAGTTTCCTTGAACTTATACTAGTCCAGAGGCTATCCAGGTGCGCCTCAAATTTATTTGGTCCTTAATCATTGTGTTATTAAGTACTTGTCAAGCATGGTGTTGGTACTTTATAATGTTTAGAGAGTTTATACGCTTTATGATTCATGTGCAGTATGCAGTTGAGAGTGTTTTTTCTCAGTTGAAGCTAATGTAAATGAAAAATCAATGTTCAAGCAAAATTCAACGCATGTTATAGAAACATACAAACAGACACCTACAAGCATTTGTGCGTTTACCTGATCACCTTCATTAAATTTGTATAATTTATTATTTCAATGATAAAGCCATCTCTTGTAACTGGTTTGTATATAATGCCAAATCCCAACTATTCATGGATGGGCAAGATTTTTATTTTCAGTATGTAACTTTTAAGACATCAACCTATCATTTCTGAAGAGTACCCAAATCCCAACTTGTTCAGAGAATGTCGATTTTAAGCGACGATGAAGAGTACAGAAATCACGGTATCTACGTTCAACCTCTGACAGGTCGCTTAAAATCGACATTCTCTGAACAAGTTGAATTATTCCTCCTCCCTAGTTATCTTTATAAACAGAATCTAGAAAGTTATTTGGGAATGCGTCTCCTGATGTTCTTCTAACCCTCCAAGTGCATTTCCTGGCATCCCTCCATCAAATACCCATTTGTCGCAAACTGCTTTACTTTCAATTGAGGGAGTTTCATTGTTTTAACATATACCTAATTATTAAGAAATATTTTAGTGTGCGTTTCGAGAGTTTTGTTGTGTTGATAGTGAGTGATTACTGATTAAGCCTACAACTAGGGTGTGGAGTTGGGTTGAGTTTAACATGTCTCTCTTGTATTGGGAATATTATAGTTCAGTTCATTACGAACAAAGTTAAACCCTAAACCCCAAAAAGCCCACCCGTCACCCCTAATCTTTTTGCAGCCTGCAGGAGGTGAGCCAGGGGACCAAGACCCAACACCAATGACAATGCATACGCCTGGCGGCCCACTAATGCATTGTTTACTTTTTGCGTTAAAACCCATTTCCTCTTTGGTTTCCTCACCAATGTGGGATTTTCTCTACGCAGATAAAACTGTGGCAGACTCTTATATTCCATCAAGTTCACACCGTTCCTTCTTCCAATTCTTCGACTCATTTAAAAATTTCTTTATCTGGGTCTTCCTCCTTTTCTTCTGCACCATACCCATTTTCTCGATTTTCCAATAGATCTGATTTTTGTTGGTTTCACAGTTTCTCTGCTTCTTTTTCTTCATGGGCCATGTGGTGTTTCTGGTATCCATGCTTTGATAAAGGTTTTGTGTTTTCTAGGATCCTTTGAAATGGATGAATATGCGATTGCAAATGCGAAGAAAAGGTTATCGAATTACAGTATTTTGATTCCAGGACAGTGTCGTAGAGGTCATTTCGAAGAAGCAAGACACATGCTTGATGAGATGATCCAAATGGGATGTCAACCGAATTCCCAGTTTTTTAGCTGAAGATGCAGTAACATATGGTTACGGGTTCTTCCACTTTGTTTTTGCCACCGGAGCGATATACTTTGCGATGCTATTGATCGGATGGAACACTCATCACACTATTAAAAAGTATGTCCCCTGCTTTACCATTTGATGTCTAGGTAATAAACGAATTCTTATACTCTAGACAATTGCAGTTTTTGAGCGAAGCATTAAAATATTGTTTCTAACTGAAATGGTTCGCAGTCTCAGTCTGACACTCAAGTATTTCTTTGAGAGAAAAGTTAATGTAAGCATCTTTATGATCCTTTTTTTTATCTTTTTGTTGTGGGGTGGGTGTGGACTATGTGGATGTTGAAGGTGTATGAATTATGATACAAACTTGGCTTTTCTTATGCAGATGAACTATCCATTTGAGAAGGGTCCATTGAGCCCTCGTTTTCGAGTGGAGCATGCTCTCCGACGATATCCAACTGGAGAGGAACGTTGCATTGCTTGTAAACTTTGTGAAGCTGTAAGTTGAAGCTTCATCGTATTGATCCCAGTAGTCTAAATTGTTTTTTTTATTGGGTGGGAATGATAGAATCATGAGGTGCTTCAATATGATGACAAATATTATCACTTGGGTAGAAACCATCAACTGCTCTCTGGTATGACACCTAACTGGAAATGGTCTTGCTTAAGCTTGAACTTTTGAGTATGTGTGTTGTTTTAGGTTGAAATATGGTAGCTTAAAATGGATATTTTGGTCATTCGTTGATTCCTTTTGTTAGCACTTATTACTATATTTCCGGTTTGTATTGTCTTTATCACACCCTCTGGTTATAGAAGTGAGGCTAGTGACTACCATTGTTTACAAAGTCGGCAGTCTGTAAAAAGTTGTAACCAGTCAAACTGTTCTTGTCTGCTTGGTTTTCCTGTTGAAGTTTATTTATAAAATCTGCTATTAATTCCTGATTAAGCTCGCTTATTTTTATTAAATATGGATTTACTATCACTTTTTTCCTCATGGAATGGTGGTGGTTTATCAGATATGCCCAGCACAGGCAATCGCAATAGAGGCTGAAGAACGAGAGGATGAAAGTCGTCGGACAACACGCCATTCATCGACTAGATCGTCTGGTCCCAGGATTTTTTATCATAACCAAAAAACCAGCTAAAGCTGACATTTTTAGACAACATGTAACTCTTCTGTGATTTTATGTATACATTTATTTATTTGTGTGTAGGCAAACTTTTTTTGGCACAAAACTTGTTACTACTGTGTTGATAATCTATAATCACAAACAGCTGTCAATTGCATCCTTTTCCATTTTATATGCTTATTTAACAACATGGCTACATGTTGTGCAGTATTGCATGATTTGGTAGAATGATAACTAGGACACTAGATGCTCTGTTCATCAAAGATAAAAATTCATTGCTTTATCAATATGCTTGATCTGGAAATTTGAGACTTCTTGCATAATGAGAATTTTCATTTTAATCTGAATGTGATGATTCCAGATCGAGGTTGGGATGCTTCAGAAGCAGTATGTTGCAAAGGTTTTCGGAGTGTCTCCAGAGGGTGAGGTATACATTCATGTAATTTGTGTCCAAATTTGATTGTTTTCTGCTGCTTCAAATTTTATCAAGTGCATAGATACTCTAGAAGCTTTTTGTTTTTTTGGCTAAGCTGGAAAAATTATCCGATCAAGTTTTACCTTTTCTTTTCCTTTGGTTTCTTCACATAACAATAAGTGATGAGGAATTGCTTGATATTGTAAATATTTTTGTACGAGGATATATAATTTCAGTGTTTTGCATAAGAAGCTTTTGATTTTCTTTCTCTTCTAGTTCCAAACAATTGTGCTTGTTCAAAGTAACGAGAAGGAACGTTACATAACTTTGCACTTTCTTCCATCTGCAATATATTATTCTTAATGTTCTTCTACCCTCCTCCCAATTTTTTTTTCTTTTACTGAAGTTGTGTTAGCCTTCTATATTAAGTTAACCAATTTTTTTCTATTTGTTACACACAGTAATGCTAAGAAAAGTAGCTTGTCTCTAGGGTCCGTTTTCACAAAAACATGTGACGCCTTAGCAACTTGAGGCCTTGCTCCCTTGTTTGATTCTTGGACATAGGCTTCGTGAAGCACCTTATACTTGCTGCTCATTGCTTCTAACAATAATCTAAGCCTTTGGTTCTCTTTCTGCAAATTTTCCAACTCTGTTTCCACCTGCAAATTTTTCCTAAAATTTATCACAAAACTCTCTATAAGGAAGATGCATATCAAAGATGACAATATTCATAAAGTAATAATCAACCTTCCCTTTGTTAAAGTGTGGTGCATCCATGACAGTAGGTGAAATTAAAAGCAAAATCTTATTGATTTATATCAATGAAAACTAGAGTGGGTTCTGGAAATATTTTCCAAAGTGGAAAAGCGAATTGAGCCTTCCTTTCTAGTTTTCAAAGAGAATTTTTCAGTGTTTCATAATCATGGCCATAGGTATCTAATAAAGTGTATATGGGAATTGATAACGCAATGGGTATGACATCATGTGACTGAAGTAAGCACTTAGATCTTAATTAATTATTTGAATGCATCACTTTCTTGTTTTGTTTTTTTGCACCAACTTTGCTGGTTATGACTTATGAGGTCCATGGTGTTAGTGGACAGATGTAGACAAACTCGTGGACTTTGAGCTTTCCCGTCTTCGTTAATTTTCTCTTTTCTTTTCCGAGAAGAAAACGAGTGATGACCGATTAACACGAGTCATTTAAACGATGGCCCGTTGCCTTGAGGGAATCTCTATTTTGGCCCAAACCGGGAAAAGTAAGTATATATAGACAAGTTATCAGCTGGCAGCTGCGAAGTTTGAATATAAAGAAATTGATTGACAGAGTAGTACAAGTCCCTGTACTATATGTATCATTTCAGTCCCTATACTTCAAAAATGACATTTTAGTCTCTGTATGTTAATTTGTTCATTGAACGGCTTATGATTTGTATGTAATTGAGAAGGGAACCTCTGATAATATCTGGACTGCAATAGAATATTCTTTTCACATTTTCAACTGAGCCAAGAAAAAAGAAGATACAAAAAACTATGACTTTCTTATCATATTTTGGTTTACAACTCGGCCTGAAATGGCTGCAGCAAGAGCTGCTGTGAAATGAGGGTCTCTAGTCAAAGAAGCAGCCATTTGATGAACTAAGAGTTGGTGGATAGCTGGTGCATCAATTAGTTGAGCTGGATTTTGGGTATCATCCCCCAATCCAGCTAGTTGCATCAAATCAAGAGTGACCCTAGGAGCTGAAGCTTTGGTTTGGGCAGATGCTGAACCCCTGTTGCTGCTGGGGCTTAATGATCCTTGTTCTGCCAGAGCATTATGGTCGTGGTTGTGCGCTCCTTCATATGTAGCCACTAATACCGATGGGTCTTCAGCACTTCTTTGCACCTGGAAACCAATACCGAAAACAACAATCAGAAACAAATATTGTTTCTAGACCTATCAATTCTGACCCATAAGATCAGCCTGAATTCAATACCCGATACAATCAGGAGCAAGACTCACCTTTGTCTTAACTGGACAAGTTGAGGCAAAGGAGCACCTGAAATATGCTCTCGGACAGGGGTTATCTCTTGTGACCTTTTGACCATATTTCCTCCACTGATATCCATCCCTCACAATCTGTAAACATCCATCATTAGAAGATTCAATCTGGGAAGAAATATTGAACAGCGGGGAACCTACCAGGCTGGTATCCGAGGGATTTGTGGGGACTAGAACCCTTGATATCTTGGGTTTAACACACTCCTTGGGCTTTTTGCTCCACTCTTCATGGCTAGAGCTGCTCTCACTGAATCCAATCACGTGGTTCGTGTAATCCTCGCACTCTGATTTTCTCTTCTTTGATGGAGCTTCATTTTCAGAGGTCTTGCTCTTTACTTGATTGAATTGGTGCTGCAAAGCGTATTATTGTTCGCATAAAACTGTTAGCATCTCGGTTAGCCTCTTGTTCTCGGCGCTCACCCTATTCAATTCCTCCACCAAAACTCCACTCTGTTTTAAAGATAACATTCACATGAGTGTTTACACACTTGTATTTGTCAAATACAATTAACTTGCCTTGAAGTTGAAACTGGCCTCATCTTTAACCGGAACCTTAACACCAGAGTCGGCCACATCTCCCTCGAATTCTCGTTTCTGGTTTAAAAAAAAAAGTTTCAACTTTTTGTAAGTCCAAGTCCAGCACTACAATAAAAAACAAGCTTTGGAGGAAGGAAAGCCAGACTCACCATAGCTTTATTGTTGCGAGATTGGCAAGGATTGATGTTAAGATCCAAAGTAGTATCCACCCAAGCCGAGTCCATAACTGGAAAATCGGAGTATAGAAGAAGCAAAAGCAAAGAGGAGAGAATAATAAAACCCAGGAATAGGGAAATAAAATATATAGACTCGAGAGAGAGAGAGAGAGATGTTTCAAAGGAAAGTTGGTGGAAGATGATGAGGATGAATTGAGCTAAAAGGTTTGCAAACATAGATAGATAGATCCCACTATCCCTCGAGTTGGCTGTTAGTGTCAGCTAAAACATTGAAATTTGAAAGTCAATTCCTAATCAGATGATTGCAATTTGCATTACCTTTTTTGAACTTCAACACTAAAACCATAAGCTTCGCCTTCTTGACCTCAACTTTCTGCCTTCCACCTTCTTTCCTTTTTAATTTCCCGAGCTTTAATATTAACTACAGTAAAAGTAATTAATAATATACATGGGATGGCACGTGCTGACGTCGTTTTATTTGACACACATTGTATTTTTGTATTGATCTGGGTAAATACAAGGCGATAAACTAGCTAGAAAGGATATTTGTAGTGATATAGTAGAATATATTAAGAGACTAGACGTAGGAAGAAAGAATAGTTAAATTATGTTTCAATTTCTTGGTCTTGGTCTGGTTAAATTGACCCCCAAGATGGCAGGCTCAAAGCTTAATTCCAAATCACCTATCCACATGGTTTGAATCTAACTATGTTTTGAGATTAACTCGCATTGGATAATCCAAAATTTGGTTCTAATTAACCCCCATAATTTGACTACCAATACTCGATTAAAACCCCATGTGAAGTGAAGTGAAGCAGCTGCACCTCTTTTTAATCTCCAATTTCCTTCATCAAAAGTAGGATTCAATGTCAAATGGTTTTGGCCAGAGAAACATTATAAAGACGCAGAGCCAAATGGCAATGAAGCATTGGCTTAATGGCAAGGTTGAGTACTTGAATAATTTTGGCTTGAACTCATACTATGTAAATCATATATAGGTTATCTAATTGAATTATACATTTCAGTTGAATATTCACCATATGTATATCTTATTCAACTTTGAATATATTTCTACTATAAATTTAATATGGTAATAGTTAATTCTAATGATAACGATGAGTCGGGGTGTTCATATTGGGATTCAAACATGTACGAAACCACCGCCGGAGACCAGCTTACTGCAAAACGATGTCTTGGAAGTTAATAGCATCTAAAACTTCAACAAAAGAGGTGGAGCAACACAAAAATTAGACCAAAGGAAAAGTAGTGTGAACAAGTAGGTTATTTGGGCGGCTAGAAATCCGGAATGCGGCCGAAGATGTGATGTTTATTCCTACCAAAGAGTCTAAATTTATAATTTCTTCATACTATATTAGCAAACCCTGTTATTGTCGCTCACCTACTCTCTCTCTCTATGTTTACTGTTTGTTAGTATAGCTCGAAGATTGATAGGGAGACCAAATGCTTTTCTGGGTTGAAAAATCGACTATTAAATGACTTCAACTACTGCTTAGAAACTTAAAAGGACAACATCACGTCATTGTTTGCGCATTCTCCTTCCAAAACATCTTAAGCGATCGTGTAATTACCATCTGTACTTCAAATTTTTTCTTGCAATTCCATCAATGTGTCTTTTCTTGACTAGCTTTTGAAAGTGTCAAACACGAACTCGTGCTTTGAATTGGACGTCTTAAGCTTAAAAATATTTCTCAAGTATAAAAAAATTTAAATAATATCAAAATTTCAACCGTTTGATATTGTACGTTCATATTATTATTATTTTTTGTGCTTGAACTGAATAACGATATTACTTCTTTCCAGCCTCACGTGCGTTTGTGTGACACCTATCTCACGTAAATATCACCACTTAATTGTTTCTTAGGGTTAGTGGGAGACTTGGTTTGTTTAATATATATGTTTTTATGATTAGGGTATCATCAACGTGTTTTGTTAGTGTATAATTTAATCCAATATTTTGGAGAATGTATTTTCAGTCTTAAAGTACAAAGAGTGGGTAGTTTGCTAATGCATTGAGAAAAACGCCTATGGATTAATTAATTAATTAGTACATTATAATATTGTTGAGTCCAGAGGAGTTTACGGGGTTGACTTGGAGTCCTGGGGTTCTCGTTTTGGTTATCTAGGTTATGTAATAGAAAAGGTGTAACATCTCAAATTCTGAAATAGTGGTTTTGGGTCGGTTTTTAGATTTTTGGTAAAAATAATAATTTGGTATTTTTGAAATAATAAATAATTTTGAAGTGGTTGAATTGGTTTAACTGCTTTGAAGTTATTAATTTTTATTTTTGGAAATTAGTATTTTAATTGTAATGGTGACTAAATTGATTAATTTTAAAGTTGTGATTTTAGAGACTAAAATGTAAAGATCGCAAAATTGAAAATCTATGAAGCCTATTTTACCAAGGGTTATGATTAGTGTTTTTCCTTCTAAACTAACCGTTGTTGGAAGTCTTGACGATTGTCGGAGTCGGAGCAGCCGTTGTTGCTACCCACTTTCTGAACACATTTATGAATGTAACGATTTCATTCGTTTTGAACTTTGAGATTTTTCGAATCCGTTTTTACGGATAACGAAATGTAACGAATGTGTGCACGTTAGAGGACACAAGTTCGATTCCCTTAACAAAAATCTTCAAATAGTTTTCAATATATCTCAAAACACGACTAAAATAAAGATAGATCATGTAACAATGAATCAGCGACAAGTAAAATGATTTAAGAATATCTCGAAACATGAAAGAAATAAAGCTTGACCGCGATCAGCACCGTCGGCTTGCCACTATCTAGTCATGGGGATGCACATGTTTTATCATGCATATTTATTGCTACCAACATACATACAAGCAATTATTGTATTACACTATCAGTTACGGATGGACCTAGACGGTACGGATGGGGGCGATCGCCCCCATAAAAATCTTAAATTATCATATATTTTAATTTTTTATGTATTTTCTATTAAAAAAAAATTATCCCCTAAAATTTTATAAATTCAAGAAGTTTACCCTCTAACGTAAAATCATAGATTCGTCTTGCTACTTGCCCCCCACAACCCACAAGCAAGGGTTGAAATAAAAACAATTTATGTGAAGCAGCCCCCACAGTATCAAATTATTATCTTCTTACCGTTATGCTTACAGAAAAGCTGTAGAATATATATTATTTTTGAAACACCAGATTTATTATTTGATTAATTCATATATTTATTTAATATCATCATTAGAACACTACAGCAGCTCTGTGACCACGTGAATTTCACATTTCCCTTCAGAACATATACCACAAAGCCCGAGTCGACAACAGTGAGCCGACCATTGTAACCCATAACTCGGATTCTTCTTCCTGCTGTCCTTATTTGGCATGTTGCTTGCTAAAACCCTCTCCATCTGTAATTTCAATTATATAATGTAACACACACACTTAGTAACCAAAGTCAATGGAGGAAGATAAATTATACAAAATTAATACAGAACAAGTCCAAAAAAAAGTTGGAATTCCACTATGTAAATCTAGAGATTCTTAATGAAATGATCGAAATGTTGTAATTAAAAAAATGACCATATAGAAATTATAGCCAATGGCCCTTGTTTGTATGCAGAGGAAAATGACCCACACCTGCTTTCTTGACAGCTGCCTCTGCTGAAAACATATAAATAAATGGTAGAGTTGTAGGGACAAGTGCCAAGGCCATATAAGGCATCAGACAAAATAGTACCGTTGGATTTGAAAGTAAATGACTCATTGGTTGTAGGGAGATAGAGACCTATATAGACATAACATTAATATATTAGGCATTGACAAGCATAAATGCAGATCAGACTGTGATGCATTTGAAGGTTTGATCACACCCCAAAATGTCAAATGAAGTAGCAATCTTCTACCATGCTGATTATGGAAGTACAATGATAGAATATTGACAACGGCTATGTATATATCATACATTGACAAAAGCTACAGAAAAGGGTTAAAAGAAAAGGCAAAATGGGATTGAAGAACAAAAGAGTAACTAACTACCAAAGCTCTTACATCTCTCTATTGGATGGAAATCTCAATGGCTAATTCATATTTGGGTCAAAAGGGTAAGTTCTTTGAAGTTGAGCTTGTTGTGAGGGACTTGAGATGTTCTGATGGAACAAAGTCTTGTGGCAAATTGGCTCTATTGACAATTCTCTTCATATTATTCTGCAAACTTTGTTGGACCATTTGTTTAACAGCTTTCTTCTCCTCACTCATCACCCCTTCTTCAAACGCAAAGCACTCTTTTCCTTATTGATTCGTCGATGACGACGAATACCCGTAAATAGGAGCGGACACAGCTGCACTTGAATTCCAGCTGAAATTATCCGAAACTTGCTTCCTTTTATCCACTCTCAAAACCTCTAGAATCCTGGAAGCTCTCCTTTTTGCTAACGTGCTACCTAAAAGTGTAAGTTCAAGTACTGATGACACAATGCCTGCTTCAATCATGGCCTGTCTGTCTCCATATGCTTTATGTGCCATTACCATGAGAACGTATGATGCTTTTTCTGGACACCCTGGGGAGTCGGTCCAATTCAGCACATCAACCAAAATTGGGAATGCTTCTGGGGCAACACTAATGCTTTTTCTACCTTCTGGAGTGGACACCACATTGCTAAATATCGCAACTATTCTTTCACTAACTTCCATGTCCCCCAAGGTATTCATTAGAAAGGGTATCAAATCAGCTTCCAAAATAAAGGAAATGTTTGATGGGGAGATTGATAGATTGTAAAGTGCTATAAGAGCATCATGTCTTGCTTGAGACCCAGTTCTCTTATCCAAAATCTTAAGGGTTCTTAACAAGAAAGGGATAGCCCCTGAAGATCCAACGATAGGCTTATTCGAATCCAAGGTGCTTAGGCCAAGGAAATTTATTATTATGCCATCTGAGATTGATTGACTTGGCTTGTTAGGGGGTTCAATAAGCTTTAGCATCTTATGCACTGCCCCTGCTTTAACAATGGCTGCTTTGTTCCTACAATGAAAAGGGGGTTTCAAAGAATAGATCAACAACATCAGTAATGTTAGAAGAAAATAAAAACATTTTTTTAAAACACGCACACACAAAAGAGATTACTTAGTTTAAAAGAGGGAAATTTGAGAAACTCACGGGTCATTTCCGATTCCTATATTAAGCAAAGCATAAAGAGCAGCGACCTGTGAATCAGAATCCTCAAAATCAAGCATCGCAACCAATGGGGGAATAGTTCCTAGCATAGCCAATGTTACTCTGGTTTCTGGATCTTCTTTAGTGAGCAACCTTACTCTACTGGCAGCTACTCTCTTGTTTTCTTCGTTTTCCACTTGCAAATCCTTAACCAATCGCTTCAACTCCTCCAAAGCTTGAACCTTCTTCGTGGTCTCAGCATCGCTTTTGGCTTCAGCTAAGTTCAAGAGATCAACGAGCTTCTCGGGTTTAACATTGTTGACAGCTTTTTTCACTACTTTGAAATCTGTGTTTTTGGGTTCGTTGTATTCTTTCAAGACTGACCTTATTGTGATGGTGGTAGGAGGAGACTTAGGCTTAGGCTGAGGGGCGGCCTCATTGAGCATTTCCTGCATGAGCTGATGACGATGGCGAGAACTGGCGCCACATCTTACAGCGTTCAAGATTTTCCTACGGAGCGAAGAGTCGGAGAAGGCATTACATAGTCGGAAGTGGGTAACAGCAGAGGTGGTGGAATGACGGTCGAGGACTAAGGATCCGATGTCGTTTCGGTGATACTTGGCCATTCTTTCAGTGAAGGAAGAGAGAGAGAGAGAGATGGAAATTTCACATTAGCAAAAGAGCAAAGAATGAAGCATTGGCTTTGAGAGAAGAAAGAGTTTATTCTTCTTATTTAGATTCATTACTAATAATTTATTCACTTCTTTCTAGAGAAGAAGTGAGATGAGAGGAGTCGAGAATTCAGACTGATCAAGTGGATGAATTTTATTTATTTATCTGATAAATTACCCTACTAATTCTTCGACTATTCATTTCCTTTTTACTTAGTTCTAGTTGAGTACATATAGAATAGGAAAATATAGGCTAAGAGACAAAATTAGAATCAAATATTATGAGAGACAATGTACATAAATTTAAATAATAAGCACAAACTAAGCGAATTTGATAGTAAAAAATATTATAATTAATTTAAGAAGTGTTAAATTCGGGCACCAAGAATGTAAGAAGTATTAACGTTTAATGTCAAATAATTGAGAGTTAATTTAAAGGTATAAATACCTAAAATGCCTAAATCCATCCTATGCCGAAACTTCAAGGTAATCGATAATGAGTAAGAAGGTGGGTAAGAAGGAGTGGCTTATAAGAGACACAAAATGAAGTAATCAATAATGGGTAAGATGGTGTGGCTTATAAGAGACACAAAATATAGGCGGATTAAAGTTAGAATAATTATATACAAGTGAAAACAGGGCTTTGTTTTTCACTTTTGTTTTTCTTTTTTGGTTACAAACATGAACCGAGAGTTAGAGATGGGCAACGTGCAAAAGGACACTTCGATTTGTGATCAACGATAACGGGCGACGTCACGGCCAGTAATGTCCTCTCGTCTCATCTCACCCGTTGAATAAGCTTCCTCTAGGTTCCACTTTAAGGAAGCACCAAGGTGCCCCACAACTTGTGATCACCCTAGCGAATGATTGATCGATTATGTATGTTCACTACGGGAAGGGCTGGAAACATACGTACACTAAATAATAGGTTTATGAAAGATTTTCTTACGTGTTTTCATCTGGGTCGATCTAGGTATATGTTTTTTTATATACATTTTGTTAACAGATTTAACTGTAAAACATTATGTAGTCTAAATTGTTACGAGAAGATGGTGAACCCATAAGTCGAGGAGGAAACAAGAAAACGGAATGATGGTGGCATTGGGCCCAACATGTTCCTACAAGACACGTACAATTCAAATGAACTTTTAAAAATAAACTTTAATTATATATATATATATATCCAAATATTTATCCCTTCAAACTAACTTTAAATAAATTATTTTTGTATGTGGATTGTATATTTTGAACTTAAAATAAATTATTTATCCATATATGTATTTCCAATGCCCCATAATCAAACATAAAACAAAAGGAAAAAGCATTTGCAATAATTAGAAGGCTTCAACTATAGAAATCAATTAAGCAATATTTTCTTGTGCAAATCAGTAAGCTTTAAAGAACTTTCTCTAATAACTTCCAACCTAAGTCAAGATCATAAAAGAACACTGGTGGCCTTCCCAAGGCCAATGATACCTTTTATGTAGAACTCAGAAAGGGAAAACAAAAGGAAAAAAAAAGGGACAAAAGTTAATGGTACCTTTTATACAATTCCCCAAAGGTTCCACCCCAAAGACGTTTCCTAAACAAGCCTTCAGCACACTGGTGACCTTCCCATAGCTCGAGCCCACCGGTCACAATCCCAGGGACAAACACCACGGGATGATTCACCGTCAAGCCCTCTTTCCTCAACTTAACACCTGGTGGGTCGGTCAACGGCCCATTTATCTCCTCCGTCACGTATTGAGGGATCGAAGCGGGCATTGTGTTGTACAACAATAACAAGAGCCACCACATTGAACACACAAAACCAATGAACCAGCAACAATTGTCCCAGCACGACCATTTCTGAGAAGTATTCCTTTCTTTCCTGGGACTCGAGAACAATCCTTTCTTCTCGTCCTCGTCTTCGATTCTGGATCCTACAAAGTTCGAGGACATTGACGAATCCGTTCCTTTCCTCCGCCGCCGCAAAAACGACATTGTATTTAAAATTCCAAAGAGATAAAATACTACTATTATCAATAAATTCTATGTAGTTTGGCTAATAATGATCCTGATTTGGAACCTCCCTCCTTAAAAAATGATCCTTTTTATTCTCCTCCCAAGTTGACACCGGCGATGGTAAAGATAACAACAGTCACCGACGGAGTTACAAGTGGAAGCACGTGATTGGATATTGTTTATAAGGTTCCACTAAACACTTTTTTTTATTACTCCCAGATTCCTCCAACTGCGGGTCCCAATCTTAATTTTATTTTTTCTGCTAGCGGTATCGGGAGCCGCTTGATTGACGATTGATCCCACAGATGTCAGACGATCGGACGGCGGTGTGAAGGTGGCGACACAAACCGGTGGATTTCAACGGTGATTTGTTAATGGTGATTTGTTTTCCAGCTCGTGAAGAGGCGAATTTGGAATGATGCTGGTTTGTAGATAAACATGAATTAGTACAAATATTTTCAACTTTCGTTGTTGTCCCTCCTTTGACCGATTGACAAATTGTTTATAAAATTAAAAAATTTTATTACAGAGATTTTGATAATATTAATACGCAATTAGGGACGGACTTAGACGATGTAGATGAGGCGATCATCTTTTAAATTTTAAAATTATCGTATATTTTAGATTTTATTTATTTTTTATTAAAAAATTATTTTCGACTCTTAAAATTTTATAAATTTAAATATATCTCTTAATATATGTATATCATGTACACAACGATGTTTGATTGAAACTACCCTCAACACCACCAAGGCACGAGTTTCATGAGAATTATTAAACTATTCATTTGTTTATCAATGCATTAGGATCAATAATTGTAACGAAACAAATTATTGGTCTAAATCTTTATTAGTTTCTTTATCATGAATAAATCGTGGGTTTAATTCACATATTATAATTAAATTAATCTTATTTATTTATTCTCTAAATTCTAAAATTCAATAGAATGATATAGTGATAATATAAATTATGGGTTTATTTCATGTATTATAAATTACAAAACACTCCTTTAAAAATTATTTTATGTAATATAACTACAACCGTATACAGTATGACACATGTATGTATACACGTATATGTATATGTATAAAACACTCCTTTATCCCTGCTGTGCTTCTTGTTTCTCGAGTTGCATGGTGCCTGTGGCTTAATGTGTTTAGTTTTGTTGTTTTATACTGTTTTTTTTCTTCAGATTTTGTATTTTGTTGAGAAATGAATAAGGTTTATTACAAAATAAGTGTCCAAACTATAATATTTTTATAAAATGTGTCTAAACTATTTTTTGAATGCTCCCGGTGTCCAACGTTACCACTTTAGGTGCTCGGGCAGTGAACGACGTTTATTTCTTCTGTCAAGTGACACATGTCACAATCTAATAATTTTGAAATTTATTTTTAAAAAATATTAACATATTTATAAAAAAATCATAATTTCTCTTAAATTATAAAAAAGCCCCAGATCTCTAAAAACCCCAAATCCTAATCTTAGTCTATCGCCACCGATATAGTCCTTGTCACATTCTCAATCATGTGTTGTCGTAGTTACCACCGATTGACCGTCGGAATCGTGTGGGATCACAATTTTCATCCAAGGGTTTGTGAGGTATAAAACGTCGATTCGTCGTCGACAAAAAAATATTAAAATATTTTTGAAAAAATATTTTTTATTAAATAATATTTAAAATCATATATTAAAGTTTTTGTATTAATTTTTTTTTTCAAAATAACTTTAAAATCAAAATGAAAAAGAAGAAATGAAATTAATCAAACTGAATTCATAGATAATCGATTAAAATATTAAATTTTATTCATAAATAAAAGAGATAATTTTGAAAAAAAATAAATCAAAAAACCCTCAACCTTAAAACCTAAATCCCGAACCCCGAACAGTAAGCCTGAACCAAAAAGCCCGCCCACCACCCTTATTATCTTTCTGCGCACTTAAAAGATTTTAGAGCAGCCCCAAGCCCACCCAAACTTGCTGCTGCCACAAAACATGGCCCAAAGGCCTATATTATATATTATTGGCTTTTTAGTTTATAAACCATTCTCTTTCTCCTTTTATAAGGGATGTGGGATTTTCTCTTCACATGGAAAACTAACGCAGAAGAACCGTAATTCCAGTGCAGTATTCCCTTTCTCTTCCACTCTCCAATCCCCAACTCTTATTTCCCATCAACTTCACACCGTTCCTTCTTCCAATTCTTCGACTCCTTTAACCATTTCCTTATCTTGGTATTCCTCCTTTTCTTCTATACCATACTCATCTTCTCGATTTTTCAGGAGATCCGATTTTTGTTGGTTTCGCAGTTTCTCTTCTTCTTCTTCTTCGCGGGTCATGTGGTGTTTCTGCTATAGCTTTGCACATCAAACAAGGGATTAATCCCACGGAGTGGGTATTCCTCCTCTTCCCATACCAACGGAACTCTTTCGCTATCTCAAAGAAAATATGAAGAAAAGAGGACACAGTGAAATTCATCAGCGCTGAAGGGATGGAATTTGTTATCGACAAGGAAGCTTCCATGGTTTCTCAAACCATCCGTAACATGCTTACTTCTCCAGTTCTGATTTTGTTTTTTCTTTCATTTCTTCTTGTGTGATCGTTTTCGGCATTTGGTTTTCTGGGTTCTTACTTGGAAAGCTCTAATTTTAACTTGTTTTCCTTTTGGTTGGTGATGATGAAGGTGGCTTTGCGGAGGCGGAGCATGGGGAAGTGACTTTTCCGGAGATAAGTGCTGTGATTCTTGAGAAGATTTGCCAATATTTTTATCGGTCTCTTCAATATTCCAGGTTTGGGTTTTGTTTGTTCTTGTTTTTTTAGTGGTATAAGCTTCTATCAATGTCTGTTGATAAACACATGTTACGGAGGAGCATATGAAGGGTGAGGTGTCCTATAAATCTGGAATGGGTCTTATTAGATTATCTTAAATTAAGGAATGTTTATTTGGGTTTAGAGGTTTAGATAGTAATACATTGTGATTTATGGATATGGCATTTATTTTTTTATTAAAAAAATAAAAGAAAGATGCCATGGCGTTTGAATAGGGGATTTAATTGTTATAATTGCAGGGTATATTTCCTGAGGATAAGTTTGGATTTTTGGATATGAGAGACTTCAGTCAGCTAAGGCTGTTCTCAAGTTATGAAGGAACTTAGAGTGAAGGTTTTGGTTAAAGATGGATGGAATTTTGAAGTGCTTAATTTAATAAGATTGTTTTAAGGTTATGAAAATGGGATTTCGGTATTTCATTGGCTGAATTATTCGTTAGTCAAAGAGAAGAGAAGTATTTTTCCTTATTTAAGGAAGATTTAATTCCTTCTTCGAGCTAAATTTTTTTAATAGAAAGGTCCAAATAGAGAGAGTAATATGCAGTTGAAATTGCTACTGTAGTATCAAACTTTTACTAAAATTTGATAATATTGGTGCTGTTGCAGGCAGATACAGGTCTAATTATGAGATAAACTGTTCGGATTGTATGGGATGTGCTATTAGATTTTTGCAATGTGGTATAACTATTCCTTTAGGTGCCGATGTCAGGAAGGATTAGAAGTAGAATGATTGTCAAGTTTGATTAGGAATAGGATAGGAGAATAAATAAGCACTTGCTTTTAGTTGAATTTTTATTTAGAGAACTGTTTTGAAGTTGTCTCTTCCTGCCTAGAGATGAACGAAATATATATGGAACAACTAGAAACTGAGCTTAAAAGATTCCTTATTGAAACTCACAATGTAACAATCAGGTCTTCCATGCATTTTAGGTAGTAATTGTGGGTTTCTCTGTTATTGACTTGTTATCTAGATTTATACCTGTCTTTCGATGCCTAGTCTGTGATGGTGATCTAAAAATGGAATAGATTGCCATTGAATGGGTGCAAAATGGTATCGACGGCAAGAATAACATAACGTTTGCATCAGATAGATGCAGGGATCCTAATACAACTGCCACAAAGAATTTTGCAAGTTTAGTAATGCGGAATTCTGCCTAAGCTGATGTTGAAAAGAATTTTCCTTATATTGAGAGTTCTGTGAGAACACTTTATGAACTAATGCTAGGACATCAATTCTTGATTCTTTTCTATTCTAGTTTTTTTCCCTTCCATTCTATGCCCTATCGCTCTTTTAATTTGGCCTAGTAGTGTGTTTATTTCAACTGGTGAGAACACTTTATGAGCTAATGCTAGAACATCAATTCTTGATTCTTTTTCCAATCCATTTTTTTTTCTTTCTTTTCTATGCCCTATAGCGCTTTTTAATTTGGCCTAGTAGTACGTGTATCTGAATTGGTGTACTTGTGCTAGTTTGATGTGTTTTGGCATTTATTTTTTTCAGTTAGCCTTCTTATTTTCCTCTTCCTGATAGAAGAGTACTAGGCTAAAGACGGTACTTTTTGTTTAATTATTATCATGCTTTATTGATCATATAACCCTAACTCTTATGGATTTATATTTCAGGTTTTTTGGCATTTACAACATTACAGTGAAAGGTGCCTCGGTTGAAGAATTATAGACTTTCGGTATATTCAGTATAGAATGGAAGGTGGATTGTCAAGCTTCTGGGGTCCTGTCACCGCAGCTGAGTGGTGTGAGAAAAACTATGTTTACTCATCTTACATTGCAGAGTTCTTCAATACAATTTCCATTGTTCCAGGCATTTTTCTGGCGCTCATTGGCCTTATAAATGCATTAAGACAATGATTTGAGATGAGATTTAGTGTCCTTCATATTTCTAACATGATACTTGCCATTGGGAGCATGCTATACCATGCCACACTGCAGCGTATGTAAGTATTCTTATTCACTTGTATTTCCATTCCCTAATGCTTCAGTTATTAGATTAATGCCTTACGAACTCAGATCTAATGCTTCAGCACGACCATTTCTGAGAAGTATTCCTCTCTTTCCTGGGACTTGAGAACAATCCTTTCTTCTCGTCCTCGTCTTCGATTCTAGATCCTACAAAGTTCGAGGACATTGACGAATCCGTTCCTTTCCTCCGCCGCCGCAAAAACGACATTGTATTTAAAATTCCAAAGAGATAAAATACTACTATTATCAATAAATTCTATGTAGTTTGGCTAATAATGATCCTGATTCGGAACCTCCCTCCTTAAAAATGATCCTTTTTATTCTCCTCCCAAGTTGACACAGGCGATGGTAAAGATAACAACAGCCGCCGACGGAGTTACAAGTGGAAGCACGTGATTGGATATTGTTTATAAGGTTCCACTAAACACTTTTTTTTATTACTCCCAGATTCCTCCAACTGCGGGTCCCAATCTTAATTTTATTTTTTCTGCTAGCGGTATCGGGAGCCACTTGATTGACGATTGATCCCTCATATGTCAGACGATCGGACGACGGTGTGAAGGTGGCGACACAAACCGGTGGATTTCAACGGTGATTTGTTAATGGTGATTTGTTTTCCAGCTCGTGAAGAGGCGAATTTGGAATAATGCTGGTTTGTAGATAAACATTAATTAGTACAAATATTTTTAACTTTCGTTGTTGTCCCTCCTTTGACCGATTGACAAATTGTTTATAAATTAAAGAATTTTATTACAGAGATTTTGATAATATTAATACGCAATTAGGGACGGACTTAGACGATGTAGATGAGGCGATCATCTTTTAAATTTTAAAATTATCGTATATTTTAGATTTTATTTATTTTTTATTAAAAAATTATTTTCGACTCTTAAAATTTTATAAATTTAAATATATCTCTTAATATATGTATATTATGTACACAACGATGTTTGATTGAAACTACCCTCAACACCACCAAGGCACGAGTTTCATGAGAATTATTAAACTATTCATTTGTTTATCAATGCATTAGGATCAATAATTGTAACGAAACAAATTATTGGTCTAAATCTTTATTAGTTTCTTTATCATGAATAAATCGTGGGTTTAATTCACATATTATAATTAAATTAATCTTATTTATTTATTCTCTAAATTCTAAAATTCAATAGAATGATATAGTGATAATATAAATTATGGGTTTATTTCATGTATTATAAATTACAAAACACTCTTTTAAAAATTATTTTATGTAATATAACTATAACCGTATACAATATGACACATGTATGTATACACGTATATGTATATGTATAAAACACTCCTTTATCCCTGCTGTGCTTCTTGTTTCTCGAGTTGCATGGTGCCTGTGGCTTAATGTGTTTAGTTTTGTTGTTTTATATTGTTTTTTTTTCTTCAGATTTTGTATTTTGTTGAGAAATGAATAAGGTTTATTACAAAATAAGTGTCCAAACTATAATATTTTTATAAAATGTGTCTAAACTATTTTTTGAATGCTCCCGGTGTCCAACGTTATCACTTTAGGTGCTCGGGCAGTGAACGACGTTTATTTCTTCTGTCAAGTGACACATGTCACAATCTAATAATTTTGAAATTTATTTTTAAAAAATATTAACATATTTATAAAAAAAATCATAATTTCTCTTAAATTATAAAAAAGCCCCAGATCTCTAAAAACCCCAAATCCTAATCTTAGTCTATCGCCACCGATATAGTCCCTGTCACATTCTCAATCATGTGTTGTCGTAGTTACCACCGATTGACCGTCGGAATCGTGTGGGATCACAATTTTCATCCAAGGGTTTGTGAGGTATAAAACGTCGATTCGTCGTCGACAAAAAAATATTAAAATATTTTTGACAAATTTTTTTTATTAAATAATATTTAAAATCATATATTAAAGTTTTTGTATTAATTTTTTTTTCAAAATAACTTTAAAATCAAAATGAAAAAGAAGAAATGAAATTAATCAAACTGAATTCATAGATAATCGATTAAAATATTAAATTTTATTTAAAAATAAAAGAGATAATTTTGAAAAAAAATAAATCAAATAAAAATATTTTGAATTTCAAATTTTACGCTCCCTTTGCAACGACTATTTTTTTTTGGCTCTATCTTAGGTAAATAAATAAAAATTTGACTATTTATTCCCGTAATCCCGCCCATCTCAGGTAAAATTACTTCCGTTTTCAAACCCTAACATTTCTCTCACCCGCTATCATATCCTCTCTTTGTTCCTTCTCAAACTTCCAATTACACTCTCGAACGACAAGCATCTCGTTGCTATATCTTCAGTTGGCCTTTCGTATTTTTTTACGGTTTCTACTGCTTATGATTTAGTTATTTTTGATTTGTTCTTGATTACTTTTTATTTTTCAGCGACAAGAAGATGAAGAAAAGTGTTTGATTTTGTTGTGATTTTACTTCTCGATTTGTTAATAGAGTCCCAATCCCTTGATTTTCTCAGATGATTTTATCGTTGATGGTTTTAAATGGTACACTGCTCATTCCTTTTTTATAGTACTTACACTTTCCCCCTTGATTTTCTGTTTTGGCGATGATAGTTTAGTCTTTATACTATTGGTTTTGAATTTCATACAGGTAACAACGTGGATCAGTTGTCATACTCTTGGTTTTGAATTTCATACAGGTAACAACGTGGATCATTTGTCTATGTATTTGGATGTTGCCGACCCAGAAAGTTTACCCTGCTGGAGTGGATATGCACAGTTCACTTTGACAGTAAATAATCAACTTCAATCAGAAAAGGTATCATCGTTTACCTTGCTGTCTATGCACTTACTGTTCAAGGTATCATCGTTTATGATGCTATATTTCTCAATCTGGATTTCTTGATACTATCATTAATAATGCTATATCAGTATTTCTTTTTTCCTTGTAATTTTTTTTTGAAAGTTATTTCAAGGTACTTATATGAACCTTAATTTTTCTTCAGTTTGTCCAGAATCAAGGCATCCTTAATATATCAATGTAAATTTCAAGAACCATATTGAGGCAAGTTGCTTGCTTGGTTAATTGCTAATTCTATCATATTAGATATGAGAGTAATCTACTTTTACTGTCTGTCATCAGAATCAGTATTGCCTATGTTTTCTTTCTCTATACTTTACCTATAAATATGTCTTCTTTTCTCTCTGAATTTGCAGGTATGTTGGAGATTCTGATGGCAACATCAAGGTTTTTAAGATTGAACAAGAAGTACGTCATGTTATACAAATGAAATACACTTTACCTTTCTCAACTTCTTATGGTAAGTCAGCTCACGGACAGCGATCAATGTGTGTACACAGCACCGCTTGAACTTCCCTCTTTCAGTGATATGAAGGATTCTGATGATGAAGGGTTTTCTAATGTAAGTTTTCTCTTGCTTTCGGCAATGCTAGCTAAGTGCATTTAGTAAATTTTCTGCTCAAGTATCCAAAACAATTTGTATAAATAATATATGAATCTTCCTTCCTTTTAATGGCAACTGAACTCTGTGATGGTCATCATCTAGTAATGGTCTGAAACATTTTACTTTGTCTTTATAAAATCATATAGGAGGAGATGCTTTGTTTTTTATCCTATTATTATTTAAATGCTATTACTATTTGAATGTTGTGAATTTGAATTGTGTCTTAATGGTTGGATCCCATGTCAGAGATGCAACCTTTTCGGTGTTGAAAGATGTAGCAAAGGTAATATTCACTCATTGTCTTTTAATCTCTTTAATTCCACAAAATTTATCCTTATATAAATAAAGATTGGATGCTCGAGTTTATTATGTGTTTTACATATATATTTTTAATTAAATAGACTACCATTGACTTTCTTGCCAAAAGAGTTAAATCTATAAATCATATACGTGGTTTAAGGGGTGATTTTTCCCCGGAACAAGCAAATGCCATATGACAACCTTTTTGTTGTCAGGATCTTAGGTTTTGCATAGTTTTCTCTGTAATTTAAACTTTCTATGAAATTAATTCCGTGGATGCATATTTAATGTTAACCTATTGGGTTTTGGGTGAATAATTGGAAAAAGTTATTATGTAAGTTGAGAGTGGATGATTTGGGTTGTGATAATCGTATGTGTGAAATTAGGCACATCATGTTTATGCATGGAATAAAATGTATGTTTATGAACATAAGTTTTTGATGCTAACGAATTGTTAATTTAAGGCATCATATTTGTTAAACTTTGGGAAGTTTGTTGCATGCTAAGTAGTTTTAGACTGAGAACTATTGTGTCTACTCTAATGAAAAATGGTACATCGTAAATGTAGTTTTGATGTTTATTGCATCTCCACTTTTAGGTTGGGATTTATTTGCCTATTTCTAAGTGATTTTTAGGTTGGATGCTTAGCAAGGCCTTAGTGATATGCTTGTTGTTTGTCACATTTTTATTCTCCTGGTTTGGCAATTTTCAAGATAAATCCATGTGGCTGAACTTGAAATCTTCTGATACAAAACACATACTCTGTGAATGTATTGAATGATTTTATTTTATATATCTAACATTGAAGATTTAATGGGTTCATTCTCATTTTCTGTATCGTTAGGTTTATTTATTTCACTTAAAGTTTAGAGTGTATACAGAAATCCTGAGGTGAGGAGACATTACGAGCACACTCTAGCAATGCTCAAGGAAGAGAAGAAAGAACTAGAATCACCATTCCACAATGAGAAATTGTTGTCTGCCCAGTTAAAGCAAGAACTAGCATATGCAAAGGCTTAAAACAAAAACCTGTACGAGGTATAGTTTTATTAATTTATTTTAAAATTAAATTATTTATAAATTATAAATTATAAAATATCATAAGATTATATTAATTGAAATTATGTTAATATATTCTTAAATTAAAATTTTCTAATATTATTTAAAATATTTTTATATAATTTTTATATAAATTAATTAATTTATTTAATTTATGAATATAATAAGGATTAGGATTCATTTACACTGCGCAAAACTCTTTTAGTTTTACACTTTTTTAGTGCCATTGGATTTAGAGAAATCAAAGGTTGAGACTAACTCGTTTTTTTAGTGAATATCTGTTCATTTTCCACGGTTAATCTCATTCTTTAATTTCTTTCATCCAATGGTCCTAAAATGGTGTAAAACTAAAAGATTTTTACATAGTGTAATTAGATCTTGCCCCATATAATAATATTATTT